ATATTCTTTAAAACCGAGTTTCTCACAAGGCTCGGTTATTAAAATAGCGCAACGCAACTTCATAATTTTGTTTTATCTCATTTTTTTTATTCAGAACTTTATTAAAAAAGTACGTTTTGAGTTCACGAAAGGAGAATCTGTAGTACAGATATTCTTCCTAGATACTTACCATTATCAGGTTTAACCTTTGGAATTATGAAATAAACCGGAATACTAATTGTATGGGGTCTATAACAAAGAGAATAAAACTTTCAGATGGGTCTATTAGGCGAATGACTAACACTGCTTCAATTATGGCGCAAAGATATGGCAATACATCACAAGGCCTTGCGAAAAATAATAGAATAGCCTTTTCTCTTTGTGCTTTAATTTGAATCAACAGTGTATTCACGGTATATCGGGATTGACACGCTAATATCAAAATAATTACGATCTGAGAGATTCTTGGACAGGATTTTGACAATCCTGTGTAACTGTATCGTGGATCATTCCACTACTGGATTATTCCAAGTTAAGGGCATTATGAAACAAAGCACAGAATAACATAAGAAAATTGAATAAAATAATTTTTCACTACCCAAATTCTTTCTTACTATACTTCTCAATTTAAATAAATTCAAATAAATTAGAAAATCAAAATGTTTTATTCTTGAATCATTTTATCACCCGCCCCTATCATTACCCCTTTATCATTAACGCGTCACATTCAATGTCATAAATCAGACATATGGATACGTACAAAACCGTTCGTTGGATCACCGAAAATGACCCAAATAAAATCGCAAAACACGATGATATAAATAAAACTAAGACGATGACAAAGTCGGTCTGTCTTAGCAAGATCTCCAAATTCTAGTTTTAATGTATGACATGAGGGTCACCTGGTCTTGCTCGGCTTCAAAGTTTAAAACAAGGATTATATAATTAAGTCTTGTGATCCTACGGTCTCCATTTAATTTCTAATACAGCCAAATAAAAGAGGATTGTACTTACCCAGACGATTTGCGACTAGACCCATTCTCCTTGGAGGACTTGTCTTTGGAAGAGGAGTCCTGCTCCTACGAACAGCAAACAGTTGAATGCCAATGCCAGCCAGCCGATGTGGCAGGGACGCGCGAACAAGGGGACAAAAAGCAAATCGTAAAACGTTAGTAAATTTCATAACGACAGTCTTTTCGGCATATAAAATATAACAATATAACATTATATATAAATATATATCTTTTCCGTTTTCATTTTATATCTTTTGTTTTATAAAATGTCAAATTCAACGAGAATTACGAACGAGAGAAAATC